TTTCCCCCAGTTCGATAAACCACGGAGTGTGGCCATGTAGCAAAGCAGGACTGAATACTTATAGTGATAAAGTGTACCGCAGATAAGCGTTCTGCGTTTGCGGGCCGAACCCCAGGACTGTTCAATTGCTCATGCCTTTGAGAGATTGTCTGCGAGGCAGAGTGGTCGGCAGGGCCCTGTTTTTTAGGGACGGGGTCTTATTTAGCTTGTGTGGGCCTGTGTTTGAGCATAAGTAGAAGGTAAAAGGAAAGGCTTGGGCCACGAGATCTTTGAGGTCAGCGTGTGCCCCTGAACAGCTCTGTGAGGCCTTTCCTTGACTGCCCTGCTGGTTGGTTCCTGGACTGGATGTGCCATCAGAGAAGTAAATGAAAGGGCCTCATTCATTGATTGGAGCAGAGTGAGTGAAGGTGGAAATCAGCGTGTACCGAGCAAACTGTTGGCCCGAAAAATGGGTTTATTTTCCTGCTCCTTGGGGACTTGCTAAGCTAGAGATAAGGGGGGTGTGAGGCAGAAGAGTGGCAGATGGTTATTCAGGCTCTAAGTTCTGTCCTAGTTCCAAACCTACAGCATGCTTTCTTTCTCATGAGAAACATGGAGTGCATCTTTCCTTCCACGCACCAAAACCCAGGAGAACTTTCTGAAGAAGCAAGTGGCTCCCTGGAGCATCTGTGATCTAGTTATCCCACAAGGCAGGTTGCCCCACTGCAGGGCTGTCACAGATGGGATGAGCCATGGCCAGTGAAGTCTCTGTTACACGAATTCTAAAAAAAAAACAAGAAGAAAGGTCATACTAGAATTCACTGAAGGCCTATTTGTTTCTAGGATTTCAAAGGCTTAGGTACCCCAGAATGAAAAGTCGATGGACTTGGTGGCAATTTCATACTCATTAAGAACTCTCTGCTTTCCTCAGCATCCCTAAAGGGTTCGAAGCCAAAAGCCGAAGCAGCAAACATGATACAAAAGGGCGAGGCAGCCCAAAGGAGAAGACGCTGGACTGTGGGCAGATTGTCTGGGGCTTGGCCTTCAGCCCGTGGCCTTCTCCGCCCAGCAGGAAGCTCTGGGCACGCCACCATCCCCAGGTGCCAGACGTCTCTTGCCTGATCCTTGCCACAGGGCTCAACGATGGGCAGATCAAGATTTGGGAGGTACAGACAGGTAGGTCATTTCTGGCTGGGATCAGGCCCCAGGGGGCTCTCGTGCACATTCTGATCAGGGACCAGAGGGGCCGCCAGTTGGCTGAGGGGTGTGGCTGTGACCAGTAGACCAGAGCTGCCTCTCCCCCTGATCGAGTGCCCCTCTCTCTCACGCTAGGGCTCCTGCTTTTGAATCTGTCTGGCCACCAAGACGTCGTGAGAGATCTGAGCTTCACACCCAGTGGCAGTTTGATTTTGGTTTCTGCATCCCGAGATAAGACTCTTCGCATCTGGGACCTGAATAAACATGGTACGGAGGTGACGGAATGACTTGGCAACCCCAAAATACTGTATTTGCCCCTCTCTCTACTTGACCAGTGTCATTTTATCCAGAAGAGTGTTTCTCAGCCCTTTTTTCTGTTACTGCCTCCTAAGGAGACTTTTTAGACATGTTTTTCCTAGTCACCCCCCAGCCCCCTCACCACCTGGGAGATTTTCATGCCAAAAATACATTGAATATCTCTTCAGGTACTGGATGTGTATCTGTGCTTTGTACATAAGAAAGGTCAGATTTTTCTGGCCATCAAGAACCAGTTTTCACCCCTCTCGAAAGTACATGGTGAAGGATAGGTTTTGTCAGCTGTGGCACTCTTGCCACCCTGGGCTGGATAATTCTTTGTTACGGACCTTCCTGTGCATTCTGGTGTGGAGCAGCATCCTTGCCCTCTTAACCCGTGAGATGCCAGTAGCACCTTCTCTAGTTGTGACAACCAAAGACGTCTCCAGACATAGCCCAGTGTCAACATAAAGGCCACAGCCTCCCCGGGTTGAGAACCACTGATCTGGAAGAAGTCATCCATGTTGGGTGTTTCCTGTTAGAAGTAAAGTTTCTTTGTACGGTGGACTCTAGGTCTGCAAGAATCCTCTCAGGTTGGGGTGGGGAGGAGGGGGGCGGTCAGCCCTAGTGCAGTTCTGCTCTAAGCAGGACTGTATCTCGGAGCAGCCCGACGGAGAATTCCATACATCTCTGGTGTTTCTCTTCAGCTGGGAGGGTGACACAGGGAAGGGGAATTGGTTGCCGGGCCATTTCTCCCTCGCAGGCGTGGAGGGAGGTGGAAGGAGGAAATGGGGACGTGGGCGGTTCATGAAGAGCACCCTCGTCCCTGATGATGCAGAGTCCGAGCGGTGACTGTGCAGCTCTCCACACCACGAGAGGGGCCCTGTCCCTGCCCTCTCAGAAACGAGCCTGATAACTTGTCAGGCAACTAAGGAGGTGCTTGTGGTGTCCTCATCAGAAGGCGTCGAGTCACGCAGCGCGCCCTGGGTCCTGTCTGCCCGTTGCTGTGGAGCTTGTGGCTGTGTGGTCTGAGGTGGGCCTGCTGACTGGGAGGGTGCTCAGACACAGCGCCTCTTTAAATGAGTGTCGCAGGCACCTTGCCACCATCTGAGGCAGGGAGCGAGGACTCCCTGAAGGGGCTGAGAGTGGGCAGAATGGACTAGGCCAGTTACTAGGGCTTTTCAAGGAGAGGAGGGGACTAAAGTAGTGTCCCTGGGCATGGGGCCCTGCCCTCCCACCCTGCCTTGATTTATTCACTCACACTGACCCCAGGGGAGCAGGTATGCTTCTTACTTGAGAGCTGAAGAAACCATGACTGACTTTCACAAAATTTATTTCTGTATACCCACACATACACATGAATTCTTAAATGCATATGTATGACCATATACATTCTTCCCCCCTTTTTTGGGGCTTATCCCCCCAAACTTTCTCATCCTCCCCTCCTTTGCATTCCTCCATAATCCCCCTGCAGTCCTGTCACCCATGCTAAATAAGACCCTTCCATATTGCCTTCCATATTTTTCTCTATACTTGCATAATCCTATTCAGACACTCACTTTTTTTTATTATTTATTTCTGGCTGTGTTGGGACTTCATTGCTGCACGCGGGCTTTCTCTGGTTGCAGTGAGCGGGGGCTACTTGCTACTCTTCGTTGCTGTGCGCAGCCTTATTGCGGTGGAGTCTCTTGTTGCGGAGCATGGGCTCTAGGCGCGCTGGCACATGGGCTCAGTAGATGTGGCTCACAGGCTCTAGAGCGTAGGCTCGGTAGTTGTGGCGCACGGGCTTAGTTGCTCCGTGGCGTGTGGGATCTTCCCGGACCAGGGCTCGAACCCGTGTCCCCTGCATGGGCAGGCAGATTCTTAACCACTGTGCCACCAGGGAAGTCCCAGACACTCACTTTTACATTTGTGGATTTGGGGGTCATTGTTTCACAAAAATGGAATCATATTCTTCACATTTTTTCTGCATTTTTCTTTTTTATTAGACAGTACTCCATGGAAAATCTAGTTCCTTAATTTCATCTGACTTAACAGGTGGAATACTACCCTTTATTCATCCATTCCTCTGTTGATGGGCATTTAGCTTTTTCCCAGATGGAGATCTGAAGAGATGACGTGAGTGACCTAGGGTTATGCACTGAGTAAACAGTGGAGCCAGGATTCAAGGCCGAGTTTACCTGCCTCCAGAGCATGTGGCCCTAATTATGCTGCACCACTGCTCATCCAGACATCCTGGCGAGGGTGGGAGGAGGGTGAGAGTGGGATCCTTGTGGGCCAGGGGGAAACCATTACAGAGCATAAACGACAAAGAGTTGAAGGTAAACACTTTCAAATTTGGAAGGATGTTTCAGAGTAACTGAGGTGGTTGGGGGACCTGAAAAGAATGTTCTCTGTTATCAAAGGAATGTATCAAACCTGATCTGTGGACAGTCTTTGTCCCACTGACCTTGTGGATTTTGGTGAAACAGTAGGTAATGATTTCCCTTGGGCATTATAACGTCATGTTAGTAGATTTCAGGCATTTAAATGACAAATCCTGTCATATTTCCTTCTCTGCGTTAAAAAAGGGGCCCGTGGGCTCAGCTGCTAGAGAACCGCTGGATATAGTGGGTGGGGCTGGGGGGAGGCACCACTGCCGGTTCTTCAGGCTTGCTGCTCTGTGGTTTTGGGAGGCGGCTCACCGTGTGCTCCATTTCTCTGACAGGTAAACAGATTCAGGTGTTATCGGGCCACCTGCAGTGGGTTTACTGCTGCTCCATCTCGCCAGACTGCAGCATGCTGTGTTCTGCAGCTGGGGAGAAGTCGGTGAGTCTCAAGACTTGTGGTGCCCTTTGCTCTGTTGCTTCGGTTCAGGGAGGCAGCCTCATGCGTGAGAGGGTAAGTGAGCCAGTGTCCTTGAAAGCTGCCTGCAAATCAGCCCCAGCGGGAGGCACGCTGCCCGGCTGAGGCCCCTCCTTTTCTGATTTGCACTTTGACACAAACCAAAGGAGAGGAGGTGTTTGGAAGCAGATCGCTCCCGTCATGTCATGGGAGGGCTGTTTGCCTTCACAAGATAGGAAAGCCATGTTTTTTAAATTTCTTTCCCCGTTGGCGTCTACGATTTTAAAAGTTGGAACCCACATGTGGATCCAGATTTCCTTTGAACCATCTAATTTGAATCCACCTAATTAGGATTTCCATTCAAATCATAAAATGTACAGTAACTCGTTGAACTTTGTCCTGAAATCCTGTCTATTGTAACAAAAATACTAGAAACCCAGGAACAGTTTGGGAACCGATTGTTTGAGTTTTACATCTTCACTGAGCTGTTGTTTGCTGTGACCGACTTGGGAAAGTTAAGAGTTCACTATTTGGTACAGCTCAGGTGGTTAATCATTGATTTGAGGTTTGGAACTATGTGAAAGTGAGAGTTTTCTTAAAGGAAAAAAAGAAAATACTTCTTTTAATGATTCTCAGAAAGGTTTCAAGTAAGGAGCTAGGTCAGACCTACAGCCGTGGGGCAGATTTCTGTGGTCCTGTAAACCAGAGGGGGTTGTCAGATGGCTCTGTCGGGTGACCAGGAATTCACCTGTGACCCCTATTTTTGGTTTCAAGTGAAAGGACAAGGTAGCCCTTGGCTTAGGTCTCCAGCATGCATAGCCCTATTTGCTAAGAGCGCTCAGAGCAGGACCCAGAAGCCTCCCCTGAGCCATGCTGGCTGCTGTCTTCCTGAGGTCGGTTGTTTGATTCTCCCCTAAAGTAAGCTCCTTGAGCATGTCTGTTGGTTATGTGCCTCAAGAATTCAGACCTGTCGCTTTATTTAGGCCAGTATGACATGTTCTAGAAGAAACATAGAAAAGGGGCTGGAGAACTTAGCTCCCCCTGGCTGTGCGGCCTGGAGAGGCAAGGCTGTGCCTTCTCCTCACCGTTCACGTCCTGAGCACTGTTTCCGCCCTGACCAGGCACCTGTTCTTCCCACAGGTCTTCCTGTGGAGCATGCGGTCCTACACATTAATCCGGAAGCTGGAGGGCCACCAGAGCAGCGTGGTCTCTTGCGACTTCTCCCCCGACTCTGCCTTGCTTGTCACGGCTTCTTACGATACCAATGTGATCATGTGGGACCCCTACACTGGCGAGCGGCTGCGGTCACTCCAGTAAGGACTGCCTCCCCACTTCCGCTTCCCGGTGGGGTGTTCGATGGGAAACCTGTCTTGGTCCAGGACACAGTGTGTTCGTGCTTATTCTAAGGCACTGGTGTGCAGCAGCGTTTCATTGTCAATTCTCAGATTAGCCCCGAGTGCCTTCAAGTCTCTGGCTATAGGAGGCTCTCTGTACTGCTTTGGATTCAGCATTATGAAACCTCACAGTGACTCTTTCTTTCCACTTACTAATAACTGTAGTAACAGGTTCAGAATGATCCTCTTATTGAAACTGTTATTTCCAAAGTGAATTTTCATGTTCTCACCCACTTGGTCTACTTTTCCCCTTTGTCTCTGTTGTTTTCTGAAGCAAATAATAGGTAGTCCTATAATTATCATGTATCTTAGCCTAAAAAAGACTTTCAGTTTGTACTGTGGCATTAAAGCGAGGGCTGACCTACTTTGCATAAGGAAATCAGCACAGGGAATTAGTAATCCTTCAGCCCCTCCACGAGACACTGGAGCTGTATGAAAGGCACTTGTTTCCAGTCGTCTTTTCCAGTAGGCAAATCCCCAGGTTTTCCACATGGGGTACGAGACATGTCTGGAACCTTTTTGTGGCCATGGCACTTTGGCCTCCTGCCTGGGGATGAAAGGCAGAGGGCGGAGGGCAGCCATGACTCCAGGCCCACCTACTGTCCTGTGTCCTCCTCAGCCACACGCAGCTCAACCCCCCCATGGATGACAGCGATGTCCACATCAGCTCCCTGAGATCTGTGTGCTTCTCCCCCGAAGGCTTGTACCTCGCCACGGTAGCGGATGACAGGTAACGAAGAGAAAGCTCTTTCCGCGGCCTCAGAGCAAGTGCTGGAAACGGCTTGTAGCATCACCCTTGGGGTCTGGCCCCAGGTCTGCTGACACGTCCCTTTCTCCTCCAGGCTCCTCAGGATCTGGGCCTTGGAACTGAAAACTCCAGTTGCGTTTGCTCCTATGACCAATGGTCTCTGCTGCACATTTTTTCCACATGGTGGAGTTATTGCCACGGGGTATGTATCTGTTAGACGAACAGATGGGTAGCGATTTCTGCTGAGTATTCCATGTAGCTTTTTAAGGAAAGCAAGCATCTAGAATTTTCTTGCCTGTGAGGAAGGCTTTAAGGAAATCTGAGATTACATAAAATACTGACATTCTCTTCTGCTAATAGAGTTTATCATTTACTCTTAATATTTAACCTAAATGTCAACGTGAAAGATCTACAATTCATGCTACCTAACAGGCCAAGTCTGCAAGGAAGCAGAAATCAAGATGCAGCAGCATTTATATAGGAAACCATTTAGGGCAGAGACCACCTTACAGGGAACATCTGTAATTCAATAGGTGGCACTCTTCCCTGTTACATTTCAACCCATAGTATGATTTATGAAGGGCTGTGCTGACAGAGACAGCACTTTGGAACCAGAGGTGTCTTGAGTTCTCCTGCTGCCCTCAGCCTTAATTACTCAGCACCACAGCCTTCACATCTATTTCCAAGGTCCAGGTTGCGTTTCACTCTCCAGAGTCTCCTGCCAGTGCAAGTGAGAGTAGAAACATTGATATCTGTCCCAATGAAAACATACATTTCCAAGGTCTGCCGTAACGCACTGGTTTCCGTCTCGTTTCAGGACAAGGGATGGCCACGTCCAGTTCTGGACGGCTCCTCGGGTCCTGTCATCACTGAAGCACTTATGCCGGAAAGCCCTGCGAAGTTTCCTAACAACGTACCAAGTGCTAGCGCTGCCAATCCCTAAGAAAATGAAAGAGTTCCTCACGTACAGAACTTTTTAAGCCAGTCTCCACAGTCTTGTTTCCTCTGTAGCAGGATAAATCTTCCTGACGAGTAGCTGGAGCAATGGGCCAAACATCTGGTCTTGGATTGAAATAGAATCTCTCTTTGGGACTGTGAACAGAATGTAGCAAAACCAGATTGCAGTGGCCTCACCCGGGGTCTCTTCCCCATGAGGTGTGATGGTCAGTCTAGAAGAGGGATTCCACTTTCGCAGTGACAGAGCCTGACCTTAACCTTCAGTCCACTTAACGGACAGCAGTGCTGGACCCTCTCTGGTCATTTTGATTCCAAGAAGTTTCCACTCCCTCGACTGGAGTGTGGCTTCTGCTGAGTGTCCGTCATCGATGCAGATGCAGAGGAGGTGTCGGTGAAAGTTCTCTCCTGCTGGTCAGAGCCGCTTTGATGTCGACAAGGGCTTTCCTTCCTCTGACCCACAGGACAGTTTTCACAGAGCCGTCTAGTGTGAGATATTACTTAGCTTAACTGAAGTCCAGGTGACTCAGAGGCGTGCTCCTGATACAGACACTAGACTTGGCTTTTTTTTTTTTTTAAAGAAACAATGGTGTGCATGTGCCGGAGGCCAGATTTGTGTGTCTTGTTACACAGGACGTATTCCTCAACTGCATGACTGTATCAGTGGCTACTGAGTTATCTGTCAGTTGTTCGCCAGTTAGCATATTTATTTGTATTTTCTCAACAGATGTTAAGGTACAACTGTGTTTTTCTCAATGGTATCTAAAAACCATAGTACTTAATTCCAACAGTTGTGAAGATGTCTCTTAATTGTGTGAAGAATTGGTGTCGTCATCATTTCAGCTGATTTTCTTCTGTACAAGATCTGACTTGACTGCTTCACCTCATTGGACTCATCAGCCAGTCTCAACTCTGCCCCTAAACACAACTAGCTCCTTAAAAGTACTGTTCTTCGTGGCGTATAGTTATCTAATCAAGACACCTCATTCAAACAAAATCTGCCTTTGGAAAATTTAATATATTTTAAATTATTTTAAAAGAAATGCAACATCTTATCCTTTGGCTTTCTTACTAGGTGCTTTGTGGAGGCCTGTGTACCATGATAAAACGTGTTGAAAAAGCAGAGGAGTCTCTCCTCTGCTGCCTTTGTTGCTGAAAGAAAAACATTTCAAGATGAGAGGCTTTCATCGAAGGAAAGAAAGTTAAAAGCTTTTGGCTTGCCGTTTCATTTTTTCCATTAAGGAAAAAAAAAAAAACACCTTTTAAAACTAGTGAGTACAACAAGACAGCTGGGAACGGATTGGGCAAAATTAAGTTTTGTGGTTATCTTGAAATATCATGTACAGTGTAGTCTGAGAGGCTCTGGGCCGCCTCCTTGAGCCCCTCACCCCACACCCCCAGCCATTAGCTTCAGACCTTGCTTTTGTCCTTTGGCAGCGAGGCCTATATGTGTGATGCACATAACCGACTTCTCCCTTTTGATAGTATAAGAATTGGACACCTTTATAAAGAACAGCCTCCAAAGAAGGTTGATTCTCTGATATCAGGGACGGAGGAGGCTTTTTCATATAAATGCAAGCTGAACAAGTCAGCGTCTGTATAACTGGCTAAGGAAAGAGGAGTCACTTGTAACAACAAGCAAGCTGCTTTATTTTTATTGTGCAGAACACTATCACACATATAGCACAAATGCTTGCAGATAAACTGCATTACATTTAGATTAAATACGAAGCGTCTCAATCCTTTCAGCACTTGCAGGTTTAGAGTCAGGCTTAGTCTTATGTGCCCTGGGTTCAACAAGCCAGTGTTGAATGACCTCTGGCCCCAACAGCATCATTTAAAATAAATGTTTTCGCTACTCTCCACACCACAATTGGGAACCTGCTAGCAACTCCTCTCCTTCAAAAGGAGAAATAAAAAGGCCAGTTTTAAAGTAAGAAAGAAAATTGAGTCCACTTTATAAGAGTATAATGGTTTGGGCCAGAAACCCATTAACACCTATTTAAAGTAGCGCCACAGATTAGATTTACAAACTTAAGTCTGAACATGTTCTTTTTACCTTGAGTTGGAAGACACTTGGACTGTATTAGATTTGAAAGCCTGATATTCCAAATGGGGTAGCCCATTTCCTATCATCCAGGCAACTGAAGGGTAAAAGCCTTAAGGCTTAAAAGGTTTTGCTTCTTTTCCCCCCTTATAAAACACAAATGGGCAGCGCAGTGAGAGCTGTACCTTAAAACTGCTTTGTACCATCCCTGCTCCAACCAGCCACAAACACGGTACTTTGGGTACATGTCTGCCCACCCAAGCCTGGAACAATTTTCCGAAAGGGGGGGTGACTGTGTCCCCTGCTTTCCAGTCACTGCTGGGCCTGAGAATAGGCAGCAAGTGGTCCTCAGCATCTAGGCTTCTGTGACAATCAGGTCTCTGGTGACTTGAAAAGCGGCAATGAGGGAACTCAGCTGTATCTTCTCATTGGTGCCAACAGAAAGTCTGTACCTAAAAGAAATCAAAAGGTAAGAAGAGAGAATATCACAACAGCTGCCTTTTGAAGAGAATAATAGCAGTCAGACTGAAAGTTGGCCAGGGAAGGATTGGAAAGAGGTGAGAGAAATTCATTCTGGGCAGCAATCTCGTACATGTCCCCTAATGTTTTTGTTGCCTCAAACACTCCTTTATAAATTTGATTCAAACTGGGGGCCGGGGTGGGGGGAATATTAAATTAAAAAAATAATTGTTCCCAGTAGCAGTGTTCTGAACTTAACTTTGTTCAAGCTCTATACAGATATGCAAAATTTATGTGATTAGGCATTATTTCTTCACATGCAAAATGCATCAAGAGGAATTATAAGATTCCCTTCCTCGTAATTCACTGGGAACTTTGGCTGCCGTATCTGTGGTTCTGTGGTCAATAAAGCAAGACACTGGTATTTCATCTTGACACCTTTCAAGTGCCCAGCCACTGAAAGCAAAATCATGCTACTCACATTGTAGTGATAAGAAGTGACCTAATTGGTACGTGTGAAAGCCAACGACGGCAAATTAGTTGGCTTACATGCACATCTATTTTGAACCTAGTGCTTTTGTCTACTTAAATGATAGCTGCCAGCTTCACTGGGGGCTAATAACTGTGTTTACTGAAGCAGGCAAAGTGGAAAATTGAGTTTATGTTTACTTTCCCTGTAATATGCTTTCGTATGCCAAAAGGCCTTAATAACAGCTGGATAGCTGGCCGTCCCCAAACGACCTAGATGTCTGAACTGAATGAAGCAGGCTTCCCAAATGACAAGAGCATGTCTAGAACCAAGGTGGACCAGGCCTCTGAGGTCGAAGGAGAGGCCTTTATCTCAAATACGTAACCGAGCTGTACCTGTCTTTGTGTTTATCCATGTTCTTTACATAAGCAGCTCACACCCTTCCCTGTGCTTTGTTCAATAATTCCAGCAAAAACTAAACTGTACTGTATATGAGTGATTTAGACAAAACAGTTGAAACCAAGCAAGGAGAAACAAAAAACTCACAACGGGGAAAAAGGAGGAAAAGAATTAAAACTGGGAAATAAATACTCACTCAATATCTGCCATTTTGGTCAATAAATGTATTCGAACTGAAGATGGAAAGTCAACTGGGGGAAAAACAAAATCAAATGAGTGGGGTCTGTCATTACCTACTATAAAAAAAAAAAAATCACAGAAGACAAGCATGAGTTTCCACATCAGATACGTAAGACTAACCTCTTGAGGCCACAGATCTCAAGATACCACACCTCTAAGAGGTAAAAACTGCATAGGTTTTCATAGTTTTTATTCATTTTAGTCTTCGCAGGGTAGCCAAAAAGAAAAATGAGCAGGTTCCAGAGTGATTGTAAGACGGAAGCGCCGTCCACTCTGCCGTCAGCACTGGGCCACTCTGTAAGTTACCGTGAAAGCGAAGTTCTCACTTGCTGTCCCATTTTTTTTTTTTTTGTGGTACGTGGGCCTCTCACTGTTGTGGCCTCTCCCGTTGCGGAGCACAGGCTCCGGACGCGCAGGCTCAGTGGCCATGGCTCACGGGCCCAGCCGCTCCGTGGCATGTGGGATCTTCCCGGACCAGGGCACGAACCCATGTCCCCTGCATCGGCAGGCGGACTCTCAACCACTGCGCCACCAGGGAAGCCCTGCTGTCCCAATTTTAAAAACAAATATAACCACTGTAAAGCAATTATACTCCAAAAAAGATGTTAAAAAACAAAAAACAAATAATTGATTTTTCAAAGTCGATTCATGCCCAGCATCCACAAAGTGCAGAGCTGGGCCTGAGCCAACCATGTTCTTGGGCAGAATTTCACATGCCAGCCAGCCAGGGAGAGGCCTGGAAAGGCACTGGCAGAACAGTGTTGGTGGACCCAAGTGTCTGCAGGTGGCTGCTGGGCAGGCAGAGCTTCTCCACAAAGCTGAAGAGCACATCACTTAGAGCTCAAAGACACACTCGTGTCTGGTTCTCCCCAAGAAGGGCCAACTGGATTGGTCTGGGGTGATTCACATGTGCTCTCAAGGTAGAGAAGCAATTCTCTGTACAGGACATACGACCAAGTGTGGAACTAAAGACGGTTTAGCTGAGGTTGCTTTGGTTTTGTGAAGCTAGATCTTCCTCCTTTCTTTTTGGGGAAAATAGCCTTTTAGAAATACAAACTCCAACATACTGCTGTAAAATACAAACCCTTGGAGGAAATGTTAGCCTTTAGGAGTTTCTTTCCTGTTTTCCCCCAGCATTCTAGAAGTCAAAAGAGTATTTTGGGGGCTTCCTTGGTAGCGCAGTGATTAAGAATCCACCTGCCAATGTGGGGGACACAGGTTCGAGCTCTGGTCCGGGAAGATCCCACATGCCGCGAAGCAGCTAAGCCCGTGCGCCACAACTACTGAGCCCGTGTGCTACAACTACACGCACCTAGAGCCCGTGCTCTGCAACAAGAGAAGCCACCACAATGAGAAGCCCATGCACCGCAACAAAGAGTAGCCCCTGCTGGCCACAACTAGAGAAAGCCCGTGCACAGCAATGAAGACCCAATGCAGCCAAGAATAAAATAAATAAAATGAATTTATGAAAAAAAAAGTATTTTTGGAACAAGGTTTTAAAAGCAAGACACAGACACACAAATACTGGGTTGGCCAAGAAGTTTATTCGGTTAGTGAATATGTTCAATAAAGTTCTTCGCGAAAATTAAAAATGTGTCTTTTAGTTTTACTTAAACCCGAATGAACGTTTTGGCCAACCCAATAAAAACATAAATAACAAAACAAAACTGAAAATGAGGGGCCGGGTTTACACCTCTTCATTCCTGTTTCTGTTTCCAAAACGAAGCGTCACGTTCCCTCTCCAGCCACCCTTAACCCCAACGCGTGCCACCTTCTGCATAGCTTCTGAACTGGGGAAGAACCTAGGTTACCTCTGTGCACAAACAGGTGTATCTCTGTCAGGATGTCATGTAATGCCAACCCCTTTAGAGTTTTCAACTCCATGATATCTAGAGAGGAGCAGTTAAGGCAAAGGGAACAAATTCCAGAACAAACACTGCGGAGAGTGACTTGAAAGTAGGGCTTTTCATACCAACACAGCTGTTTCCTTCAATCTGCAGTTGCACGTGTTGGACCCCAGTTCTTATTTTTCTGTTTTCATCTCCATTAAGGGAGATGAAAGATATCTCTGTCTAGTAGAGAACAGAACCAAATGCACTGCCCAAAAGGCTTTCCATCGCTACAGCTAGATTTTAATTTCATAGAAAAACAAGAGTAACACTAACTGCTTGAAAATGACTGCACCTTCCACCCAAGGTCTAAGTGCTTCCCTCCCATCTGTGAGTTAAGCTGTTTCAAGCCATACCCAGCTCAGGGCCCTTCAGGAACAACCTGGGGCATGAAAGACAAGTACCCATCCCCCCCACAGACATCTTGCTCCCATGACAAGCTGAAAGGTGTCCCGTGCAGCCACTTGTCTTTTGCCAGTAGAGGGTGTAGGTGCTGCCTGCAGCCTGGGCTTGTGAGGCCATGTTCAGGCCTTGGGCACCAAATGCGCTGACTGAAGGACAAGAGAAAGGATACTCCTGTAGGCCGTGGTGAAGTCTTGATTCAACATCCAGTCCAGAATGTTGGCGATGTCTGACTTGAGTGGGTGCCCTGTGCAGGTGTAGACAGTCTCCTCTGTCACCTTCCCAAAGGCCATGTTGGTGCTCTGGGCAGACAGGGGGAGAGTCACCACGGCTGCTGCAGCCACTGAGCTGCAGGAGGGTCAGGGGGAAACTGCAGAGGCAGCAATGCGGGTGGGCACAGGAGAGCTCGAGCCCTGTACTTTTTAAACTGCTAAGAGCTGGCCGCATCAGAGGAGGCCACTGCTTGTCGGCTACGTTACTTTGCAGAGTCCTTCCCCATCTTTCCCTTATTTGCAACAAATTATTCTTTCAATTAATCAAAACACAAAGGTGGGCGTACATCTATGACATACTATGAGATGTCTTACCAGTTCCAGATTTCTGAATTAACACATCGGTCATGCTATTGCTTATGTCTTTCTTGAAAAAGTATTCTGAAGCGACAACTCGAGATGTGCTAGGAGTGGTGCCCTACCTGCAAGATGTTCAGAGCCCTTCGCATGTCTCCACTGGAAAGAGTTACGAGCGCTTTCATCCCATCTTCACTTATGTCAACTCTGCAAGGAAACAGGCGGGACGGATAGAGAGGCCCTGAGAGCACAAATGCTCCCCGAGGGGACAAGATGGACTGTGAAGATCAAGGCTTTGAAACAATGAAAGAGAAAAAAGGGAAGGACGGAGTGAACAATACTCTCCTGATTTACAGGCTCCAGAACTTGCTCTGGCTACTGGGGACGTGGGCCTCATGTGAGTAGTCACAGCCCAGTCCAAGTCTAGCAAGACCATCATTTGGGGCCAAGCATTGCTATGTTGAGCAGGTAGCTTTGAATTCTGTTCTCTGGAGAGGAGAGGGTGCTGGCGAGATCTGTGCTCGCAGAGCCCAAGCACCTGTCGAATCAGCAGCAGCTCGGGCTGGCTACTTGCTTGGCATCTGATCACGCAGAATGTGATGTCTCAGGACCTTCCCTGCTAGTTGAGAAAGGTTACAGGCATCTTAATGGGAGGGACCTGGCAGCGTGCAGTTTCCAAAGACAAAGAGTAGGAGGAAAGCGGGACCGCTTCTAGGGGAGGATGATGGACTCCAGTAAGGAACCAAATGACCTTTATGAAGAATGCCTGTGAACTACCAGGGCGGCCGACAGACAGTGAGGTTTACCCTGTGCCAGGCTCTCCCGAGTTGTTTACAAACGTCATCGCCTTCAGACGTACCAGTAGCCGCCTTACATGACACCCAGTTCCCAAGGCCCCCCTTCCCCTGCTTTTCAACATACTTACTTCTCTTCTTCTGTGACATGTTCCAGGCGGGGAACCATGAGTTCAGGGGTCAGGGGACCAAATCGGAACCTTGTACACCGGGACTGCAAGGCGGGGATGATCTTTGACAGATAGTTACAGATGAGGCAAAATCTGGTATTTTCAGTAAATTTCTCAATCACTGGCAAGGGAAAAGAGAACCACCTCATGTCCATCCTGATTCTTCAAGGGACCCAGAAACCCTGAACTTTCCTATGGTCACGTGAAGCGGGGAATCAAGAATGCAAACAAGTGGGAATGCTACTGTAGCAAGAGAGGGTGAGCCTGGAGACCAGCCACTCTCTCCCCAGAGCTGAGGAACACATCACGTCCACGGGACTGAACAAAATGCTTCCTTTTTCATGACTGGCTGTGATTCTGGCACTCTTGCCATTCCATTCCACTAAGATATGAAATCCAGTATGCCTGCCCTTTTGCATAAAATTCTATTTGGCAAATGGATGATGTGCCACCTTCTACTGGGCGGGGGAGGGGGATGGCTTTTTGCAGACTTTCCAGTGGACCTTGTCTCGAACCCTTAGAGCATTCAAGAAAGCATTAACCCGAATTCAGAGATGCCTATGACACCAGTTTCATCCTGTAGGTACCAACGTTCTCACGTTGGGATCTGCCCACACTGACTCTACAGAATAAGATGCTGAAGAAAGGTGGCCAAAGCCTCTAGGACCAGAAGATATTCTGTCCTCCTCCTCCGCTTCTTAAACATGGGCTACAATCCACCCCTCCCCAGAATTCCTAAAGATCATCTTCTCTCCTAGCTGTCTACCGCAGAATCTTAATGAGAGAGATTAAGAATGTCCTTGCAAAGAAATTAACTGCACCTTTAAGACCAACAAATCACAATATACTCTCCTTTCCTGGCCCAATCATTCTCCTGGCAAGTAGGGAAGTCATATCAGCTTTCTGAGTGCAACTAAATTTCCAGTGTTATTTTCCTGGCTATATTGTATCTAACAGTACCAACAGCAGAAAGACCTATCTAGCAGTTTAGAAATGAAAGACTTCCCATCATTCCCTCCCATCAAACAGTACAAATTCTCAACCCTGAAATTGAACCCAGCGGAAAAGGAGGATGAAACACCAGTGTCTGGTCATACCTAGAAGTCCCCAAAAGGCTAATGTCTTTACGCTATTAAAAGGGGTAACCACCGGTATAGAGATTTTTGTCTAGGTCATCAGGTGGGATACACAGTGAAAGGTATACAGAGATTTCGCTGGGCCAGAAGATGAATGAAAATTGAAAAGAAGCCACATCCTATCTCATGGCCAAAGTTGCTAACTCTCCTTCCAAAGCATTCCTCAGCCACACACACCGTACACGGCTGTGCTCCTTACCTCTCCGCAAGGCGTTCTGGGCGTCCTGAGTCATGGCATCAGCTTCATCCAAGATCACTAGTTTAAAGCCTTTCCTAGGAAAACAAATGGTACCACCTAAAAATCTTCAATCTCCCTTTGACTTCCAGGCCCAAACCTACACCTTCACATTTGTGCCATCAGGCCCTGGCTCATGAAGTTCATTTCTCCTAGAACTCTGACCAAAGCAGACATCTGTGGTCAAAGCACATGGAGGTCTAATTTCTGTATTTGTGTTAGATTATGTCCTCTGGCACCTTCATCTTTCTTCCACCCAGTAGCCTCTTATTCTATTCTAGTGCTGCTTTTTCAAACTCTTTTTCTTTTTTTACCACCATCCTAGTTATCCACCCTGATCTCAATTCATTTTTGTTTAAATTCAAACTAGCTCCTCCAGTCCTATGATGTAATGAAATTAATGCTTCCCCAGAGAACTTGCTAATATAGATTTAGATAATATTTTGTTTTAATGTTTGCATTTTAATATGTCTTACCACCATTCCTGTACTTTATCTCTTTTTCATGACTGCTTTTGATAAAGCCTTTTTCTTTTCCCCTTACTTTTACAAACTGGCAAAGGAAAGGATTTAAGAAATTAAACTCTATCACCTCACTGATCAAAATCTTTAGGGAGAGAAATTATGCAAAGAATTCTTACTTAAATATTGTCCTCGTGCTAGCAAAGCTCAGGATTGGTCCCCGAACAATATCTATTCCTCGGTCATCTGAAGCATTCAGCTAAATGTGAAAGAGAGAAGCCAAAATAAATAGAAAACGTGTTGGTGTGCTAGCTGTGAATTAATGTATCTTTTCATCAATCCTGCTCAGCAAGCTAGATCTCTAGTTCTAAGGACAGATAAGAGATAATCATTAAAAATAAGATGACAATTATATTTAAAACTTACAACTCACTAGATCATTCCATTATACTCTGAAAGGCCAGTCAACACGAGTCTTTCCTCCCCCTTCTGAGGACAAAATCACTGACGTGCTCCGGGGGATAATTAACTGGTCTGCTCAGGGTGAACAGTGCCTCTGGCAGGAGCAGAATGATGCTAATTTTAGCTACCACAACCCAGAGCAACCCAGAAGTTACCAAGTCTTTAATACAATGAAGTAAGAACACTGGTGGCAGCAAGGTTCTATAATACAAAAGCAAGTTAAACAGTTTTTTTCTTACAACAGACAATATTTAGAATTTCGTAAGCTAAGTATATCGCTCGAGTCCTAGGAGTAAACAGATGGCATACTCAAATTCAGTAATTTGAAGAGAATTAAATGAAGAGATAGTTTAAAAGGTGCTGGTGAGGTGTGGGGAAACCACAAGGGCTATGCAATACCTCAAGGCCTACTGGGGCCCATTATCACCCCCAAGTCTTAAGGGGTTGGTGGGGGAGTGGCACTGGCGGCTGGGGGGGTGGGGGGAGGGGAAGGCTGCGTGCTCTGCCCTGCGGGTGGGGGAGCTGTTGGCCTGTGGTGACCCCCAGGGCAGGACCAGGCATCCTTCTCCCTTCCCCCACCCCTTCCAGGCCCCTGCTGGCCAAGCCCAACCAGGAGCCAGAGGGCAAGAGAGTTCACAGTCAACACAGCTCAGCCTTCTGGGGCGGGGCAAGAAGAGCATGGAGCAACATGCAGAAGGGATCTGGGGGCACATGGGAGACAGCCATCAACCGAGCAACCACTGAGGATTTGGGTTAAAGTTGGCAACAGCAAAGAAAGACACCTAGTCCTACCACTGCCCTTTAGCTTATACCAGTCCAGGCAAAAATGTCAATTATAGAAAAAAAGTGAATTAAAACATCTTATGTCTTCTTCTTTCCCAACCACCAGCAGGGCAACTAACTTGTAAAGTAAAACAAAACTAGCACAACTAAAAGTAAGAGGCTGGAGTCCTTTGAGAGTAACAGTAAACCTCCCATTTACCTCCAAGACCATGGAGCCAAATTCCTTATCTTTGTACAGCTGTTTAGCACAGGCCAGGATGGTGGATGTCTTTCCCGTCCCTGGAGGACCATAGAGAAGGAGGTGCGGCAGGCGGTCCTCACTGATAAACTTCTGAACTGAAGGTCAGGGGGAGAAAGAGAGAGGCCATCAGTCTGAGAGTTGCCTCATTCACTGCAGGCCCGAGTTGGGCTGAAGGCACTTCAACCATATGTTCAAATCTGGGTCTGATGCAGGAATGAAAAATATGAAGGACTCAGCTCTTAAAGCCACATCCCAGAAAGCTCAATCAGATCCTTCAAAATTATTACTCAGTAGACACAACATTCCTAAGAAGTGTATCCAGGTCCTTCGACTAGGATACCAGCCGCTGACCCATGGATACATACTGGTACTCAAGATGTCCTGATGAGAAATGAGATCATCCAGTGTCTGTGGCCGGTATTTTTCAACCCTGAAATACAATTTAGCATTGATTACAACATATATAAAGGCGAGAACATTTTGTTATATGCAAAAGAATCCTTTCATATCCTAACTAGAAGACAAAGAGATACAAAACCCTTTAACAGTGGTTCTCAACTGGGGCCATTCTGTCCTCCAGTGAACTCTTGATAATATCTGGAGACATTTTCCACTGTCAAAGCTGAGTGGGGGGGTACTACTGGCATCTAGTGGATAGGCACCAGGGTTGCTGTTAAACATGCTGCAATGCACAGGACAACCCCCATGCCCTCCCCCGACACCCCACATATCTGGGCCCAAATATCAATAGTGCTGAAAAACTGCTCTCATTTCATCTTTCCAGCTGTCTGCCTATAATCTCAACCTGGATGGGCACCTAAGTTAATCCAAAATTGAACTCATATCCAAATATAAATTAACAGATGAATGGATAAATAAATGGTGGTATAGCCACACAAGGGAACGTTATTTGGCAATAAAAGGAAATCAATCACTGATATAAGAAGCCAGTAACGGGACATCCCTGGTGGTCCAGTGGGTAAGTCTCTGCAGTCCCAATGCAGGGGGCCCAGGTTCGATCCCTGGTTGGGGAATTAGATCCCGTGTGCATGCTGTAACTAAGAGTTCGAATGCCGCAATGAAAGATCCCACATGCCGCAACGAAGATCCTGTGTGCCACAACTAAGACCGGGTGCAGCCAAAATAAATAAATAAATATTTTTTTTAAAAAAAGAAGCCAGTCACAAAAGGCCACGTATCGTATGACTCCATTTATGAAATATCCAGAATAGGCAAATTCATAAGAGACAGAAAGTAGATTAGTGGTTGCCACGGGCTGAGGGAGGGGAGAATGGGGAGTTGCCAATGGGTACGGGGTTTCCATTTGGGATGATGAAAAATTTTGGAACTATATAGTGGGATGGTTACATAACATTCTGAATGTACTTAATGCCACTGAATTGTACACTTTAAAATGGTTACAACTGTGAATTGTATGTTATGTATTTTTACTACGATAACAATAAACTGAAAAGAAACAACTTGGAGTTTTCCGAAATCAAGTCAAATCCATTCAGTCTTTAAACCATCACGAAGACACAGTTGTGTAAGTAGGATGGTTAAGAGTGCAAGCTCTGAATCTGGACCGGCTGGGTTCAAATGCAAACTTATCTTCCAACTCTGGACCTTAGGCAAGTCATTTAACCTTTTGGTAAAACTGGAATAACAGTACCTTCTTCCTAGTGTCTTTGTAAAATTCAAACATCTAATAGGGTGCCTGCTAATCTAATAGAAAGTCACTTAAATAAAAGTTTACTAGGGAGCGTTGTTACCATCATCATCATATTATTCTAGTTTAGAATCTGACCAATAATCGTACCGAGAGAAGAGAATATTTTGGCAAGAGAGAAGAATATTTTGCCACGGAGGTCAGTGTAGTGTCAGAAGACACGAGATCGAACCCCTGTGCTGTCACCCAGGTGGGACCCTGGGGCGGCGGGGCGAGGACAAGCTGGGGACCTGCCACTTGCCCACTCCGGCCACCACCTCCCCGCGCGGCCGACCCCCCTTCCCCGCGGCAGCCGGGCCTCCTCCTACCAGGGCAGGTTCCTGATCTTGCCCCCCTCGGGCTGCTGCTGCTGCTGCTGCTTGTGCGCTGAGGTCTCCATGACAGGGTGACGGAAGTGGCTGGGTCCGGTGGGCTTGTCGCCTACACCAGGTGTCTGCACCGAGACCAGTCAAGACGTGACCCCCAAGACCCACGTACTTACAGTTCGCGCGCAAACGCAACTCTCGCGAGGTTTAGCTGCTTGCTTCCGACTTCCTCCCTCGGTCCCGCCCCCTCCCCGTTGCTAAGGCCTCTGTTGCCTGGTTACCGGGAGGCCCTGGCCGTCAGCCTAGTTCCAACTCCGCCGTTCTAGCCGGGGCTGCCCTCTCTCTGGTGCGGCGGGGCGTCCCGAGGCCAGCGAGCGCGGGAGCAGGAGAGGCAAGGCCACCCCTTACAGTTCTTGAATACAGTTGCCGTATGAAAAAAGGCTCCAAATACTTTTTTGGCCCCAAAGCTGGCAGGTGAGTACTTCAAATTGAAAAACAATTCCAAGCACAACTCCAACTCCAATCCGTCTCCCAAATCCATTTCCTTCACCCAACAAAATTTACAGAACTGACCGACCTCCAGAAACAACTCCAGAGCGAAAATAAATAAGTAAGTAAGTAACTTCCACTTAGGTTAACGTGTAACTGGAAAAGGCTAGTTAGTAAGCATAGAGGACAGACTGCCTCTGATCTCAAGCTACTGAGGAGAAGCGGTATCAAAATGTTAGCATTTTTTTCTGAGGTGAGGGGATTATGGACTACTTTTGTTTTCTTCTATTTTGCTGGTCTGTATTCCCAGCACTGAGTATGTATTACATCCATAATTTTTTTTTTTTTTTTTTGTTCTTTTGCGGTACGCGGCCCTCTCACTGTTGTGGCCTCTCCCGTTGCGGAGCACAGGCTCCGGATGCGCAGGCTCAGCGGCCATGGCTCACGGGCCCAGCCGCTCTGCGGCATGTGGGATCTTCCCGGACCGGGGCACGAACCCGTGTCCCCTGCATCGGCAGGCGGACTCTCAACCACTGCACCACCAGGGAAGTCCTGTTTTTTGTTTTTTAACATGCTGAGAAAGGCAACAATCCTGGGAGAAGATGAGGCTGGACCGGGATCAGAAGTGTTCTGATTCAGAAATAGCTGCTCCTTGCATCTTATTACATCACCGTCACCTGTTTTAGGAGCAGAGTAGAGGGACAGAGGACAAATACACGATGGCAGTTATGGCTTCACCCTGCCTGAGGAGTCAGAAGAAGCGGGTCAGATGGGGCTTGTGATGTGACAGTGCCCCTGCTCTCTGCTTCCTCCTGACACTGGTTGTGCAGGTCGCTGGGGTACCACTGTTCCTGCTCAACTTTGGGCAGGTTACTTCTCTCCTCGTCCCACCATATCTACTCCAAGATGGCTGTGAGGATTAGATGAAATAACATAGGTAAAGCATCTGTTATATTCCACCCGCCTCTCTCTGTCTTCTAGAAACCTCTTCACCCGTCCTATTCTTGTCACAAATGTTTCCTCTCAAACAAAATCTAAAGAATTGGCTGGTGTGACTATGCCGGGGAGGGTTAATTTTATGTGTCAACCTGACTGGGCCAAGTGATGCTTGGAGAGCTTGTAAACATTATTTTGGGGGAGCGTCTCTGAGGGTGTTTCTGGAAGAGATTGGCATCTGAAGTGGGAGAATGAGTAGAGCAGGTAACTCCCATCAAGGCAGGTGGGCGTGATCCGATCCACTGGGGTCCTGAATAGAACAAAAAAGGCAGAGGGAAGGTGAATTTGCTCTCGTTTCGAGCTGGGACATCCATCCTTTCCTGCCCCCCAGACATTGGCGTTCTTGATCCTCAGGCCTTTGGACCAGCTTTCCTGGGTCTTCAGCTTGCAGACAGCAAATCATGGGACTTCTTGGCCTCCATAATCATGTGAGTCAATTCCTATGATATCTATGTTATATAAATATCTATATACAAATATGAATATATCTAAAATATATTTTAAATAAAAAATATAGTATATATAATGTATAGTGATATATTAATATTTATTGTATGGCGTATAATATAAAACTATTTTAAAATCTACATAAATATAATACATAGTTTAAATATAAATTATATTTAAATATACTTGTATTATAACATAGGTATAAATATAATATATATATGTAAATACTATTGGTTCTGTTTCTCTGGAGAACCTTACTATAAAAACCATAAACTGGGCTTTATTCAACTGCCATGGTAAGAGCCATGCTGCTAAGGGGCTTTTGCATTAGAAACATGATGTCACCACCTCCTTGAGATGGAAGATGCAAACAAAACTTGACCAAGTTCTCATAAAACTGTGTACACTTGCTGTCCAGTTTGCCTGGAGTGCAAAATTCTTCTGTGTGACATTCTATCTTATATTTATGAGGTCATCTATTGTGTGCCTCCCCAGTGGATTGTAAGCTCATTTGATTTCCTCACCACTGTACTCCTGGTGCCTGGAACAGTGCCCGTCTCAAAGGAAGCACTCAATTTATAATTGTTTGATGAAAGAATGAATGAATGCTAATAGCTAATGTTCATTAGGCAGTTACTATGGGCCAGACACTGTTCTAAGTGCTTTTACATTCTGTATGCATATTCAGTTGTTGCCATGAACCCAGGCCACTATCATTATCGGCCCCACTTCATAGGTATGCTAAGTAACTTGCCCATGTTCTGACTTGGTGTAAGAGGCAGAACTGGATCTCACCAAGATGGTGTGATTCTATAGCCCAAGCTCTTAGCCACTCTGGTGGTGGCTGGTGTGGTTGCTGGGCCAGCAGCGGCAGCATCTCCTGGAAACTTGTTAGAAATGCTCATTATTCTTACCCCCACCCCCAAACCACTGAATCTGAAACTCTAGGGGGTGGGCCCAGCTCTCCGTGTTGTAACAAGCCCTCTAGGGGATTCTGATGCGCTCAAGCTTGAAAACCACCGCCTTATATTCTACTGCTTCTTAGTCTTCGAGCTCCTCAGGAATTCACTTTCTAAGAAAAAGAATGGGTACTAAAATGAGTTTTCTGGAAAAACAAAGGTGTCCTAGTAAATGTTATTTGTGTGTGGTTTTGCTTCTGTCTGTTTTGCTATTAACTGAAGGTATAGTTCTTTAGGCAACTTAATTAATATCTCTTTGGACCTCAGTATTGGCATTCGTAAAATGGGTGGGGCTGAACTAGAGAGAGGGTTAATATTAAAAGCACCAGAGGATTTTTTAAAATTCCAGTGCCAGAAGTCCAGTCAGACCAATTAAATGTGGCCTGGGGGTGTGACCCGGCAGTTGGCATTATAAAAGGTTCTCAGTTGATTCTGATATTCAGCCAAAGTTGAACTACTGCCCTAGGCTAAACCAATCACGGCAAACCTAGTCCCCTGATTGGCTTAAAGGGTGAGCCTGTGATCCACTTCTGCCCAATGAGATGTAAGAGAGAGTGGTGGTGGAGGGAAGGGGCATCTGGGAAACTTTTCTCATTACTTTGCCAATCTTTGCACTAGATGATCTTTAGCTTTTCTCCCAGTGACAAAACTCTATCACTTTAAAGAGAAAGAGGGAGAGAAGACCTGAGTTCCAAGCTCACATGTCTTACAAGTAGCCTGAAGTTAATATATAAAGGAAGAGGGTTGGGTGGACACTATGCCCTGCCTCAAGGGGGCAGAGCTTATACATGAAAGATTTAAGCAGAAAAGGATTGTAGCAAATGAAATATTGGCTAGCTCAGTCAGTTAGAATTCTGGAGACCCCCGCCTGGAAAATGGAACAGAGACAGGCTGTGGAACTGAAACCATGGTCAAAATTACTCCATGGAACGATACTAGTAAGAAAACTGTTTTTGCTGCCGACTTTCAGAGGCTACTGCCCGCCCACCCAACGCTGACCCTACAAGCTGGATGTTGCTTTAACCATTTCTACTGTCAGAAAGAATTCAGTTCTCTCCCGTACTAGAGTGCTCCTAAAGCTAGTGCCACATTAAAAACCTGGGGAGGGACTTTCCTGGGGATCCAGCGGTTAAGACTCCGCGCTTCCACTGCAGGGGGGCGTGGGTCCGATCCCTGGTCTGGGAACTAAGATCCTGCATGCCGCGGGTACAGCCAAAAATTAAAATAATAATATTAATAATAAAAAATTAATAAAAATAAAAACCTGGGGAGACATGCCTAACTGGCCAGGCCTGGGTCACAGGCTAGTAAGTACCAGGTATATAGCTTGAGTAGTGGGAAGTGACATCTGCCTGCCACCAAGACTTGTGAACTGGTGACATCCCTGAATATAGGAGAGGGATTGCAGCCCTAAGGATCACAACTGTCCACTACACCAGTACTCAGCCATGAGGGACAGCAACCAAATGGTGCCAGCTCTTCTGATTTTTCAAGAGAAACCAGAAACTTGGATTTGTATGTGAAATTCTTGTATGTTAAACATTGACAACTAATTTTAAAAAATCTGCTGGCCAAGCAAAAACACTGTCAGAGCACTTGTGACTTTTGATTTCTCAAGGACAGATGATCAGGCAAAAGATATAGCGATTCCTTCTTAGGCTCTGCCTAGATTTTAGACCTTCTGGAGGATTAAGGCAAATCAAGCTGCTCTCTCCATGTGAATTGTGACATTGATGAGCACAGGCACAAACTTTTCTTATATAATCAGAACCAGATTTGGAAATGCTTTAATAAAATATCAGGTCATGGAGATGGCAGGATCAGAGTTTGCAAACAAAATTAACAACAAAAGGCATTTTCTCTTAAAATTGGATTAGGGAAAGGGAACCCTGAATTTTATTATTCTCAGCTTTGGAACAAACTTGGCCTTGGACACAGCACTTACTGCCTTAGTTTATTTTTAAGACTTGTTCTTATGAGAGAATGGGATTCAGGCTATCTTTGGAAGAGGCTGGCAGAAGAAACTCAAACTGGGTCTTTCTCCTGAACATGTTGATACTGGTGAAATCATGTTTAAACGAAGAGCTAGGACTTGAAGGAGGGAAAAATCTCAAAGGGCAATTTAAAGAGTGTGCATAAGGGGAAGGGCGTCTTCTTTGGTGACCACGGCAAGGTCATTGACTGACAAGGAATTTAAGTCCTCAGGCCTTTTGGGGGTACTTGTCCCCTACAACTAATTTCTCTTGTCAGAAGTCCAAAAATGCCCTACATCGGAACTTAGGGAAATTCATTCAGCATCCCCTAAACA